ATGTATTCCTTATATCCACTACACTATCTCTTATACCAGCGAGACATAGAAAAAATCCTATTTCTAGAGTTGGAAGACTTTAAAGTACACGTAGAAGGGACAAGTTTGTGTTATGACTATTCTTATTGTGTCTTTAATATGTCTCGATTCGCGTCCAAATTGTTATTATGCCTCTCGTATTCGACCTCGACATATTGGCTTTAATATGTATTAAACACTATTGAATGCAACCCATATAGGTAGATCACTTTCTCCATCAATATGATGGCGGCATAATTTTTTTTTGGGCACTAGTGTCTAGTCGTAGAATCAAATTTGGCGTACGCATTTAATACGTATCTCAATGTATTTTTGTCTATTTTTTGTGTATTCTGATTTAAATTTAAAAGTAGTTGCAAATTTGCTGATTTCTGCTCTACCATTATACTTCTTGAGATCACTTTTACTATATTTGACTGAGCTCGTTGCAGAATATCACTGTTTGAAGCTGTCCTATTGCTATGCAGTTGGAGACTAATTGGTTTTAAAATATTGTTATAAACGAGAGCTTTATGTTCTAAGTTTAATCAGGATTGGATGTTGAGAGGCCAGTTCAGCATAACAAATTGACTTGAATTTGTTTATATATGCTTACGTCATGCTAATTTGCTAAGTGAGTTTCTAGATAGATGAAATTACCTGCTTGAGGTAATGGAATGATATTTAGTGTAATTACTGATAAAACCTTTCTATTAAAGGTTAATGTGACCTGGCGGCATATTTTATATTATTTTTATATTATAAACATCTTTAGTGAAACATAAATGAGTACCCATCCATAGAAAAGTACAAAGATTTGGAAGCGGTACCCACTCTAATTAACCATTCTCAATTTAAATTTACTTGCAGCTCAGCTCAACCACATCCTGATCATCTTATCACTAAAAGAACATTTAGGTATAAATAAATTTATGAACACCTTTTTTAACGTAGATTTACTGTTTAAATAAAATTATTGATAATATATTTGATGAAGAGATGGAAACCTCTTAAAAGTTTTCATTTTTTTATAAGTTGGTTTGTAAGGAATTTACTAAACATAAGCACCAAAAACTGACCAATTAACTGACCCATGCATGAAATTAGCTGCTATCCATACATTTATGGTTCTCTTATGAGTTGTTTTATAAATATATAATAACTCCAAACTCTTCCAACACTACTATGAATTATTTTCAAGTTATTTTCTTAAGGAAATGTCGGGATGAATATAAGTTATTGCAATGCCAGATGTTGGCAGCACTGACTGTAGTTTCAATACGGTCTTTTGCATTGGGAATATACAATTTATAAATAAAATATATTTAGATGTATTTTAAAACTATATATATTCAATTATTTTAACGCATTCAGGTGTGAAATATGACTTTTCCAGTAATATCACTTTAAACAATAAAATTATTAATTTTTCATATTCATTCTCTTTTAATAATAAAAGTTATACAATCAAGTGATACTTTAGATTAAATAGAAGTGACAAGTACATCAAATGTAAAATATTTCCTTTGTTTTATGTCTTTTTCAGCACTCAAAAGGTACTTCAACTATTTATCAATTTACTACGTTTAAGAGTCCTGAATACAAGGTAAGTTTTAGCACTCATAATTTTATCATAAATATAAAGTTCCTAAGCCTTTCATGTGCACAAGCTGGAAATGATCTCTAAGAAAAGTCTGGAACTGAACTTAAAGAGACCAAATCGAGATCGGCATTTTTTGCCAGTGAACGATCTTGTAAAGAATTAATATGTGGTACAAAAAAAGCCTAACCATTTCCACTTGAACACTTTTCAATAAAAATTACAATTTAATTGCGCATTTTCCAATGAGTTGAAAATATTTGTTAACTACATACAATTGAGTATAGTAATTATTAACAAAATATTAACCCCTTTCAAGTTGCTGGAAGTGCTTTTAGCGCGAAAAAAAGGCAAAGATTTCGATAAGAGCGCAAAGCATTTGCTTATTCTTATTAATAATATGTAAGAATTTGTACACCAATTATATATACCAGGACGACTAAATTCCCCCACAACCGAAGAGCGTGAGAATATTTTCAAATCAATGCTTTTGCATACTCGAAAATGTCCCGCGCCAAATAACATAAATACAAATCAGCAAAGATGAAGAAATTTGTATTTTAAGTTCTTAAGAAATGTCCTTTGGAAAATATTAAAAGCACAAATGCACACCCCTAAGACTACTGCTCTTGGAAAGAATTCTATAGCAAAGCAATTCGTAATTATATATTAAACAATAATGGATTTCGCATTTCTCTATAGTTTTTTGTTTAATAATAGTGTTTTGTACCTTTATAAAATGTTAAAAGGCGCTTCCTCTCTGAAGGACCATAGCGTTCTCGCCATATAAATGTACATTTATTAACTTAGTTTAATCTGGTTTATACTTGGTATCCACCCATCATTTTAAATGTTCCATTTCAGCAATTTTGCGCATGTTACTTAAAGATTTCTTTACTTCCGCGAGCAACCCCTGCGCGTTAACATACATTTTAATAGCTGCGGGCAATTGTGTCATTTCCGGTGTTACTCAACACTACATTCGTAAATGATATCGAATTTCAATTCCTTGTCAGCAACGTCTAAAAGTCAAGAATTGTCAT